CCGCTCCATGTTCGTCCCTCCCGAAGCTGCGCGCTCGGTCGAAGAGGACGACCTTCCCCGATAGAGGCGTGTACCGTTCATCGGTCAAGGGTATACGGTAGCTGCGCTCCCCTGCTAGAACCTCCAAACAAGCTCAAGGTCCATTTGTAGGAGAACGTAGGGTAGGCAAGCTTCCAAGACTGCAGACACATCCAAGTGAGGCGCTGCATGGGGCAGTCTGCCATTGTTTTGTGGACCCTTCTACTAAATAGAACTTTATTAGAACTCTTATGAGTTATAACTTTTTAATTAATATGATCTGCTATGCTTACCTCCACTTAAAACTTCTCCCATCCACTAGTCACCTACAAATGCCTGAGCCTCACAATCTGACATGCATGCTGTCACAATCTTGCACACACAAACGCATTTTCCCACCTGGCTCATTGCCCATAGGGTACGTTTCTTCTTGAACAAGTACAAGGGCTGGGTTTGTAAATTATCATTGGCCTTCTCGCTTCTACTGCCTTGAAAGCAGGGGGGGAAGGCTGAGGAGAGGGGACACCAGGCACTGAGAGCAGGAGGGGAGGGGAGGGGATGGGCTGGGATGGGCTGGGCTGGAAGGGGGCGGGGGGCCGTTTTTAAGGGAGCGGGTGCCTGTTTTTCTTCCAAGGGGGTGTGTGTCAGGGCAGGTTTAGGCTGGGTCTCAGGCAGCACTTCCTCACGGAGAGGGTGCTCAGGCACTGGGATGCACTGCCCAGGGAAGTGGTGGAGTCACCGTCCCTGGAGGTGTTTAAGGAGAGGCTGGATGTGGCACTTAGTGCCCTGGTCTGGCCGATGTGGTGGTGTTGGGTCATAGGCTGGACTTGATGATCTCAGAGGTCTTTTCCAGCCTCAACAATTCTGTGATTCTGTTATGAATCTTCTGTTTTAATTCAGCATTTCAGAGGAGCTGACATGCAAGGACCTCAGTTTTAGCGTGATACAAAGCTGACAGCGTCCTGCACAAATTGCATGGGTTCACATGGTTAACAAGGAGCACAGCTGCCAGGAGGCAGCATCTCTCTGAGAAGGTGCCAAGTGTAAGGCTTCTTTAAAAAAACCCATCCACAATTAAACAAACAAACAAAAGCCAAACTAAAGTGCTTTTATTTAAAAAACTGAATAAAAGATCAAGACTCCAGTCAGCATTTCTTCAAGAGTTACTTTATTCTGGGCAGGAGACTTGACACAGAAGGAATGAAACAAACATTTGTAATGTTTTTGAACAAAAACACTGAATAAAGAAGAACCGTTATTTCTTTACTCCCTCTGACAATTCCACGCTCCTTCCACGTAAGCTCAAAGATGTTCTTTCAATGTATGTTTTCCTCCTCACATTGTGGAACATCCGAGTCATACCAACAGCCTTATGGGATACAGAAATACCATGGAAATGGGCTTTCTGGCTTGGGTTTTGGTTTTTCTGGCTAACATCATGGCACTTACACAATACTTTTGCAAAAATCTGAATTACAGAGGTGAATGGGTCCATTGTCAGGTTCCTTTATTTCCAACAGTCACTATTATATGTAATGCATAAGCCTGAGAAAATGTAAACAGCAGAATTCTAGAAACATTTTGCATAAAGACACTGCTAAATAGGTTATGTATGATAAATTTTCTGATATGCTGCTTGTCCAGATTTCAGTATAATAAAGACTTAAATCTTTTCCGTATCTGTATTGCACACTGAGACAGCACGTTAAAATACAGAGCCTGGACAACTCAGTCCTCTTCCTAGAAGAGCTTTTTCCAACTTCAGCAGGAAACTTGAGGAAAGGCTACAAGTGCTGCTGTTGCACTTAGCTAATTTTCCATCCTCCCAAGTTAAAGCTAGTAGAAGTGATTCTGAACATCAATATTAGCTTTTTTCCAAAACAGAGGCTTTAAGTTGGGAAAAGAGGAGATACGGAGGAAAAAAAATAACACAAAAACCTACTTCTTTTTCTAATCTTTTTGCTGGACTGACCAGAACCTCTAATGCTGTAGCCAAGAAAATCACTGCAGGGCTGACCAAGGCTCAGAGATTACAGCCCAGGTTCAGATCCATCCTGTATTTAAACACGTGGAGTAGTCCTCATCCTTTAGGGGAGACACCCAGGTGTCTCCAGAGAGCTACTCAGTTCTCAGGTGAGATGAATTTCTCCTGAGATGATTCTTCCTCACCTCCGATTCAAAGTGTCAGCTCACAAGACAGGAGCTCACACTTAGGTGCCCGCAGTTAGGGAGGATGAATCCAAACCTCGGCAGCCCCATCTTGGGATTTGCTCATCTCCTGCTTCCACTAGTAGGAATTAAGAGTATGAAACAGCCGAGTTAAATTGTCTACTTAGGTCTAGGAATACCTAGGATAGGTTCAGGGTTTTCCCTCTTGAGTCCAATTATTCAGTGATAAAATAAATACAATGATATCTAGACATAAATACAGATATTTATTTCCACCGAGAGAAACAATCTTTCCAGTTCTAACACAAATATACATATTTCCCTTTCCACTTCCCCAAAGACACCATCGGTGTGTGCTTTAGAAACCAAATGGCTGCTTCATTTTACTGCTCTGCATTGGCATCGCTGCTTGGAAGCTGTTTGGTGTGGTTTGGAGTTAGCACTTACTGCAAACAAATAACAGAGTAGCTGGACAACGTAACGTGTCCTTGGCATGTATTAAATGCATATTTTTTTTAATGCAGAGATCCTTTTTGCTCCCTTTTCGTCTTGTATTGTCTCACTGTGGACTGAGTCCATAAAAGCAAATGGTGAGCAGTGCTCCTCACGGCTCCCCCGCAGCACTGAACCAGCAGCCTACTCGAGGGCACAGCTTCCTCCAAGTCCCACACAACCTCTGCGAGAAGCACTGCAAGGCCAACACGAGTTACGTCTCCAGCCCACAGCGGCTGCCCCTTGTGGGTGCAGGCAGATCCCACAGACAGGATCTCACCGATACACGTGCAACACAGCCAAATGCTGCGAACCACACCTGCTCTTGATACCTTTAGGCTGGATTTAACATGTAAACACATGATTTGCCCAACCTGTTCAAAAAATGAGCTCAGAAAGGTGAACCTTTTCTTCTGCAGGAAGATGCAATCTCACAGCACGCTTCACCTTTGGTGGTGCCGTTTCAAACTGTGGCTATAGAAGGTGTTGTCCTGCCGCGTTGGACTGTTTTATCTCCCTTCTGCTGAAGGAGCTGCAGGAATAGCCAAAAGCTGACCACGATACAAATGAATCCTTGCTGATGGCTTGACTTGGGCACCCCTTCCCAGGGCAGAATTAAATGAGACTATGGGGCTACATTCTTCTCTCTGTAACCTGGTAACTCATTTTCTCTTATAAACTGAGTTAAACTGCTCTTCAAGGAGCTGTGTCAGTTTCTGTGAAACCAGCTGCAATCTTAGAACGTTTTTTAGCAGGACCAGGCAAGGTCTCATTTTTTCCAGTAGAGCCTGGGGGTCTAATTTACAGCAGGTGACCAATTCTTCACATTGTAAGTGAAGATATATTGTAGTGAAGAACTGACATAAGCTTAAACTGACTCATTTCCTCCAGACTTTTTTCTTTTTTCCAAAAGTTGTGAAAATTAAGTCAGCCGCATAGATATGGTTTCCTTACACCCTGCTGCTGGCTAAGTATCATTAATCCTTTGTTACTCCAAAATCAGCTTTAGAATTGTTAATAATGTCTTGAATAGGTCTTCAGATATTATATTCGCAACAACAACAACAACAAAAAAAAAAGAAACAGAATCCGATTTTTCTCATTATAAATCATTAGAACATTTAAGTAAATTTAACAGAGCTAGGTCCACAGTCTACTCCATAGTGAACAACACCAAGAAGCAGCTTTGGAGCAGGACATAAGAGCGCTGTGTCAGAAAGCAGATCTACAGAAGGGTGCTCACCCTTCACCAAACAACAAGATTCCCCAAATTTGGTAAAGCAAAAGAACAGAGCTGGAAAGCTGGATAGCTGTCCAACAGAAACCTTTCAAAAGCAAAAAAATAAATAATAATTAAGAAAAAACGCCTCCCACTCATTTTCAGCAGTCTCTCAGTGACTGCAGAGGAGAATTTAGACTGTCAGTCACTCATTTCTTTGATGTCAGTGCAAAGCAGGTGACTCTAGGACAGCAGAAGCTTGGCATCAAGATATGGCATCGCTGAAATGATACAGCGCCGTTTAGCACACAAATTTCAGAAGATGTCTAATGAATGCCCCTTCCTCAGCACTTGTCTTCCACTGCAGTTTTGCACCACTTTGCTCTTTGTATTTTTATAAAAAAGTTGAATTTAATAAAGCAAAGGTTTAAAATTTAAAAAGGTTTGTTATAAAAATTTATCATATAAAAATGCCAAATCCCCTAAGCCATATATACAAAATGTATCAGTTTTAAGAAAATAACTGGACCCAATTATATAACAAAACCATTTTATACAAAAAGGTACAAGTTTGCATTCAAAGCAATACAAATAAAAAGTAAAAAAAAAAAAAATCTTTAAAATGTCTCATTCATAGAAGATCTGTTTCTTTGAAATGTATAGGTATAGAAAACAGTATCAAATTGTCTCACGTTAGCCAGCATGTCATGGGAAACACGCGTTGGTTCAGAGAGGATCTCCACGCGTCACCGGCGAGCACCGTACTTTGCAGACCAGTCAACGCGCCCGTGGATTGGCTGAGCTGGAGATGGAAGAGGCATCAACCTTGGTGTGTTTTTTGTAGGTGAACTGAACGACGGCTGCCCAACATGGGGCTTTACTGACTTCAGAGAAGCATAATCTGGGGAGGGCGGGGGAAAAGACAAAAAAAGACATGAGATAGAGGTTCAGCAAGTAGCAGCCCACACGGAACAGCAACAGGACGCAGGTCCAGATCCTTATTTCTTCAGGAAATAAGCCTCCTGTTTTAATAGAATTGGCTGATGTGAAATAGCAGATCCAATCCCTAACACCTTATCAGACAAGGAGTGTTTCTATCACTGCTTTGACAAGCGTGAATTCTGTGCCAGCTCTCACACCAGCCTCTAGGTCCCATTGAAATACGCTGCAGATATAACAACATATTTCATAAACAAAGTAAAAATAAACTAAATCCTTCTCCACATGAAGTTCTGCAAGGTTACAAACTGTAGTTGTAGTCAGTCAAATATTTATAAATAAAGTGAAGCAAAGGTATGTAGTTCAATGCTGCATATATCCAGCATTACCAGAGCAACGAGCAAAACAACTTCACAGAACCATGGAATCATTAAGGTTGGAGAAGACCTCTAGGATCATCAAGTCCAACCGTCAACCCAACACTACCATGTCTTGAAGTGTCCCGTCTACACATTTTTTGAACAACTCCAGGGTTGGCAATTCCACCACTTCCCTGGGCAGTCTGTTCCAACGCTTCAGCACTCTTTCAGTACTCTTTTGGTACTATACTTACTAGAAGATGGATCCACAACTGGTGCTAACTGAACCCTCTGCCCAGCAGAGCCTACTTCCTTCTTCAGAAACGAAGGGATATAACCACTAGGAGTTAGACCTCTTGATCCTATAGGGCCTGCAAGAAATGGCAAAGGAACACTTAGGCTCAACACAACGGATCTCCCGTACTATGAACGGGTGACAAAGGTGTGTGCCGATGGGTCACATTCAAGATCAAGCCTGATGAAAATAAGAACTGGAAAATAAGAACAATAAGATGAAAATAAAATGAAAATAAGATGAAAATAAGATGAAAATAAGATGAAAATAAGAACTGGACTGATGAAAATAAGAACTTCACTAGAGGCTCCAGAAATCCACATATTCTATATACACCCACATTCAGGGCACTGTCAGCATCAGATTGCATTAAAGATGAGCAGAAAACAGGTACATATCGTACTCTCTGAAGGACAATTTCTTCTTCTCCACAAGATCTCAGGTTTTTCAAGGTTTCTCAAAGTTTCAGCATTTAGCATTTCAGTTGAAATTATTTTGTTTGGCATTCAGCAACTTGGTCCTACGAATATACTCACTATTAATTTCTATGCAGTGAGTCTGGGACTTTGGAGCTCTGAAGCTAGTAAGAATGCAACTTATAAATTGGGTCCAAATTGGTTCCAAATTTGTTACCTCAGCTACGAAACTTGCCCCTAAGGTAAGCAGAAACTGATCTGACTGACCTGTCGGATAAGCCACAGAAATCGGAACAAAAATAGTTTTATATAAAATGGTCTACAGAGTCACAGCGCAGACAGCCACTAAACAAGTTAGCATGCACGGATCAGATCCATCACACGTAAGCCTACGATGCACTAGACAGTAGAGCACTGGCAAAGAATACTGTGGGAAATTATGGTAATAAGTAAAAAAGGGGAATATCTAATGATGTCCTACGCAGCTACAAAAGAAGCAAAAACTTGTAGAAGAGCCAGGAAGGAGATGTGTGCTACATAAACAAAGGTTCTCATGCAGGTTAGCTGTTTATAACACCCTCACACTTTGAATCTTTAAAAAACAATTTTCTGATTACATGATATCCAAAATTTTAAGCTTTCTATTTTTTTAAAAAACAGAGTTTCTAATGGCCCAAAATGTTTTCTTTGAGCCAAGACTCAACAGAAATTTTCCCAAACTTTTTCATAACAACAGAAGCAAAACAAGTACTGCAGTGCAGAATTGTAACATCACATGAAAACCTGAAGCCAAGAAAGATTTAAAGGAAATACAAGCATACAATCTAGAAACATCAACATGTTTAAGCATATCTGGTAAAATCTAATATAAAAATCTACACATTAATTACTTCAAACCAAACACTAGGATTAAATACCTGAAATACCAAATGCCCCAAAAACCTGAAGAAGAAAAATTGGAGAGTTTTGCTTTTTGGCTGAATTTTTAAAAGCTACAATTACTTCACTATTTTAAACAGCATCAATTAAAAGACGTGTGGTGTGTATGGCTAGCTCAATTTAGATCAGTTTCCTCCTCTACGACAGTCATTTATGCACCACCTGGGCTAAAATAATTTGGAAACCTGAAAATATGACTTACAAAAACTGATGTGGGAAACTTAAGGCAAGATGAGGAATTTCAAGTTGAAGAGATCTAAGATGTGCAACCTTCTATGTAAGTGGTACTTTAAACCAGACTTTCGGGGATCATTAGAATAAATTACTATGTTTCAGTTTAAGGGAGTCTCCAAATGCACGAACAGTGCTCATAACTGATTCTGAGGGAAAGAACAAACACGGTAGTAAAGATCTTCAAAGCTGACAATGTATTAGACATGGGTGACCCAAAATACAGCTGTTTGGAATTCCAGAGACATCACTACTATCTTTTCTCAGAGTATTAAGCACAGCTTCTTACCTGAATTCATCCTGTTAACACCTCCTCCCAAACTGGAAGCATTTCCAGGCAAACCAGAACCAGGCCAGGGATTAGACAGAACAGACTCTTTGTTTGAAGTGGAGACTACGCTATTCCTAGTGCTTATTCCTATTGCAAAAAAAAAAAAATTAGAAAAAAGCAAAGATCACCATGCTGAAATCTCTGTGCGTGAAGGCAAGCTTGCACAACGACAGTCTTAGAGCAGATGCCCAGTTCAGTGGTCTTAACCAAAACCTTTCCGCTCTTAACTTACTTCCCAATCTGTCACACAGGAACGCTATGGCCGGCACTGCGCCCTAATCCTGCACGGGCAACAGTGTAAGTAGTTCCACCTGCATCACTGGCTGCTTGTGCCAAGGGATGGGATCCTTACACTGAGGCCACCACTATTCTCAGGTCACAGAAGATGAGCCTCACTATGTGAATGATCAAAACGAGCATTTCAGAGCTGTTAGCCCAGCTGTGACAAGATAACCTGAGAGTCAATAATGGGAGGTTGCATTCCTCACAGGAGTGTACTCTTCTTTGGAGGATCTACTGAAATCACAGACTGTGCAGTTTGCTCTAGCAGAGTTCATACGCCACATATTATTTGTATTTAATATACAGCTCAGATTTAAGCAGGGTACCTAGCATGCAAGGATGAGCTCACAACTTATGGTAAAGCAAAAGCAGGTTTGGCATTAATGTGTTTTACAAGCTCCTCTAGTAACACAGCTTCCAGCTACCAAAACTCCACTTGAGCAATCCAGTTTGAAAGTCACTGAAATTAATTGCTTCAGGAAAAAAGGCTGAGTTAACCACGACGATACCTTCTCGTTCACCTAATTAATTTTGAAGTATTAGTACTACAAGTGAATGAACAGCTAACATCGCCTTTTTAACCATAAAACATGAAAGAAGATGCATTTATATCCAGCTCATTTTAAATACAGGCAGACATGCTGTCCACCTCCTGTACTTCATCCTGTCCCACTGCTGGGCTCAGCAGAGCAGAGGTGAACATGAAGACAGGCACGCAGTTCCTCTGCAGGTACATGGATTTGTATTCCATTTAACTCCAAGCTACAGCAAAGCATATTCCCACTTCAGTCAGCTTCTGTTGTTCATGGTATTACACGGTCATGAGGTAAAAGTAGGGCACTTTTTTCCCGGTCTAAGAGACCAGTTTTATCCATCCTTAGGGAAACAGGGAATAGCTTGGCACATTAACAGACATTTTCTAGCACACTTTCGAGTATAAAAGAGTATCCAGCAAGAGAAAGAAGTACCAACAACTGTGTCGCCTTCTTCTAAATAGGCTTTATGTCAGTTGCTAGACTGCTAGAATATAGTCTGTATCATGGCCATCTACATCAGCAAAGCTCTTGCTCTCATTTTCTTTACGCAGCAACACCCCTCCGTGAGCTCAAAGGATAAAGCCTACTGTACCAGTGACTATTTCATACTGCTGCTGGAATTACAGGAAGGGAAAAAAAACCACGTATTTTTTACTTACCAGGTAGATACCCAGAATGTCTCAGGTTGTGTTGCTTTGCTGCAGAAACCCGCAGTGTGGGCGTGTCCTGCCGTGGAAAGGTTGCATGGGAAGGTGCACTGCTGCCAGAACCTAGAGCATCCGAAGGCTTCAGGTCCAAAATGCTTTCAAATCTGCAATGCAAAAATTGCTACTTAGTCCAATTCTTACAGCACATGTTTACCCACAGCTGGCCTTCTCATCTTCAGGAATCATTTCCTCATCCTGTGTTTGCTACAGCACAAACACACAGACAACAGGGAATATTTTCAGTCTGAAGCCATACAAATGCCCCTGAAAATCCCATTTGCACTTCTAGTTCCCCTTTCAAGCTTTTATAAATCACTCAGTACGTTTTTTCTTTACTCTATGCAATCCATGAAAACTGCAGCTTACAGTCACCCAAACCAGTTTATATGCCTGGAATATGTGAGAATGGCTCATATGTGAAACAGAAAGTATATATTCAAAGATTAACTTGTGAAGACTTAAGCTAAGCATCATTTTCAGTGGGGAAAAATGAAGAAGGAATTGTATGGAAGGGGGCACTGTCCATCAAAAAAGGTACAACAATTCAAAGGTCAGCATTTAACAAGCAGCCAGGGCAAAGCAGAACGACAAGGTGCATGTCCATTACTGACCCGGATATGTGGTTTTAGATCCACAGAAAGCACGAAGAGCAACATTAAGAAAAAAGAGGCAAAGTCTAAGGAAATAAAAACAACGAGTGTACAGACGTAAAACAAACTAACTTACCTACAAAGAGTTTCATCACTCTGCCTTTTCTTGTTTTTCAAGTCCATCCTCATGACGGCAGAGCTGAAATCAAGGTCTTCCAAGTCATCCCAGTCTTCAGAACTCTTCACTGTTCTAGCAAGGTGTCCCCATCTTCGCCTGTTTTTTGGTTTAAGTTCACCATTTATGTTCTCAGTCCTGGCAGATGTTTTCTGTTAGAAAGATTGGTAAGAAAAAACCCATACACTTATACCAGGTGACAGGAACAAAGAGGGCTTTTTTTTTCCCTGTCTCAAAGAATAACAGTGGTAGTAGAGCTGGTAACAGCAGAACCCTAACCTTTCATTAAACATGCTAAGAACACAATCTGTAGCCTGTAGACATTATTACCTATCTTCTGCATTTCATTCTGTAATATAGCATCCTGCACTGACAGAAGAAAACATTTCTTAGATCTCAACTCCAATTCCATTTATATTTTGCTATACATCTCCCAAACCATTAGCTTATAGTCAGTTTTTATTTCTTGATCCATCCTGGAAGCACAGAACTGCCACGCATCTTCATGTTTCCACAAGCCCATGCCTAGACATTTTTAAAATGTGTTTTTCTTGCAGGACAGCACAGGCACAAATTTGTGCCTCTTCAGCCATTTAAGCTCCTCAGTACATATCACCTAGTGCGACTGTACAACGCCAGTACAGACCCTACTTAAGACCAATCTCTTAGCAGCAGCGTTCGCACTCTCTGCTCTCATCTATGTATGAATCCAGTCTCTCTCTCTAATCAACAGAAACAGCAGGTTCTCATGCTGAAAGAAGAATCTGTTGTTCTCCACAGCCAGTACAGAAGCCCAAAGGGACTGTTATTCTCAGTCACATAAACCAGGTGGCTTAAATGGATGAAGGCAATAGTCCCTCTACCCCTCATTTCAATACTATTTAGCTTAATACTTTTCACTCTGCCATCAATCCCATTAATATCCTGACCACTGGACATCCTTTTTACTCATATGAAACCAGTGTCATCTCTTAAGTGGTGCTTTACAACAATGGGAAGGATAAAATAGCTTTTAAAATTTTTAAATGCTTGTTTTACAGCAATTGGATTTAGATCTCAGCAGAGGAGCTTTCAGTTTCTAGTGGAAAGTTTTAACTATTCTTGATTCCCATTTCCTGTCCATTTCAACTGTCAGAACCATGAGAGAAAACTCAAAAAAGAAACATAATTAAGAAAATTCAGGCAGCGTATCAGGAAGTGCATCTTATGGTAGATGGATCTTTACCTGCTGAGGAACCTTATTGTGAATTGCAGGCAGAAGAACCTGGTTAGACTTGTCCTCCTGTAAGTAGTTACCATGCTCAGCCCCGGAGTTATCTGTCTTATAGGGGTACACCAGGTGCTGAGAAGCCTGGCTTTGTTGAAAAGGCCTTGAGGAAATGCGGGCGTGAGGTTTTGGAGGGGGTTGTGCTGGAGGGACAGGCTTAATATGTAGAGACGATTTATTATGCAGTTCCTTTTGTTTTCTCAGCTCTTGAACACCCCGGGCATGTCCAACCTGGAAGTACGAATATCGAAGTGCCTAAAACATAACGAATATGTTAGGATCCAATGTAGGAAAACAAAGCTTTTAACTTACCCTAGCCCTACGTGTGGTACAAATTTAATTTCATTTTTTCTGGGCTGGGAAACAGCAGAAGACCCATCTCTCAATACTAAATTCTAGAGTACAATCCACTTCAGCATAACGCTGCGATAGTAGAAAACTTTCAAGAGAGACCAAGTTACCAAATCCTCTGTAGACTCACACAAAAGAAAAAAATCTGCAGAAGTAAGCTATTTAACCAGGTGTCATATGCAGTTGTAAGAAAAAGAAAATAAAACCGAACCTGACTGGCTGTTGGACGCTTTTTGGGGTCCCACTGTAGCATGTCTCTCATAAGCTGCACCGCTTCGCTGCTAGCGTTAGGTATGAGGGTTTTCAGGTTGTTAGGTACACACTGAGGCCAGCGGAAATTCATGGAGGTCGAAAGTTGGTAGCCTTCAGGCCAGTCGTTCTGGAAGAATGAGATTTTGAATCACAAAAAATTCAGCTGCAAAATATCATAGCACCTAAACATATTAGTGTATATTCTCCTACCACTGACAGACTGTGTCCAGCTTACTCTAGACTATATTAAAGATTTACTAGAAATTTTCAACACAAACCTCTGGCAAGAGGTACCTCTTGCTTCACGTTCAACCAAGTCAAAGGCACAAATGGAACCGGTCGACAGAAGTTTTGCCATGATTTTCCAGCCTCTTAAATCATAGGTTTATACACAGTATGTAAGAGAAAATGAGATTTTCACCTAATGAAATCATAGTCTAATGACTTTGTTTGCTGTTCAGGGGTCTATTCTACTACTCTAAAACGCCAGGTTTTATAGTATAATTACATAATGCTTATTTTGCAGAAAGCAAGTTTTAATTTAGTTTACTATAACCAAGATCACTATCATACAACAGTAGTAAGCAGGAAAACTGATTATTTTTATGCTTACTTCTATTGTGTCATTCTGTATTATAGAACACCTCTAGCACTACTGCAGTGTGGAATGTGGCTTTAGCTACCTTCTTTGGCGTTCCCAAGACTTGGCAAATTTTGAATATAGTATCAATTTCACTGGCGCCTGGGAAGAGAGGCCTCAGTGTGTAAACTTCTGCCATTATACAACCAACAGCCCAAATATCTACTGGAGAACTATAGCTGGTGGATCTCAGGAGAATTTCAGGAGCCCTGTACCTGTAAAAGAGGGGGGGAAACAAAAAAAAAATTAATCCTAGAACGATTTGGTTTGGAAAGGACCTCAAAGATCATCTAGTTCCAACCCCTCTGCCATGGCAAGAACATCTCCCACTAGATCAGGCTGCTCAAGGCTCCATCCAACCTGGCCTTGAACACCTCCAGGGATGGAGCATCCACAGCCTCCCTGGACAACCTGTTCCAGTGCCTCACCACCCTCAGGGTGAACAACTTCTTCCTTACACCTAGTCTAAGCCTAGGCTCTTCCAGCTTCCACCCATTACCCCTCATCCTGTCACCACAGGCCCTTGTAAAAAGTCCCTCCCTAATCCCAAGAATCAATATAATTCAAACAGACACATATGGAATCATTCTGCTCTTCCTTTCTTGCTGTTAGGAGCAAACATTCCTTAAAAAACTCCTCTACATAACATTTAATTTTTATTCTAGAATGAAGAATTAAAACCTGCATAAGCTCTCGTAAGTTCTCTCATGCCTTCCTAACATACAGCAATCCCAGCATGCCCCACCTCCTTCTTCGTTCCTGTGCTTCTGCCATCTGTAAACTGTCTTGCACTAACTAAAGCTTTTCAAATAACAGTGAGCTTAAATAAAAGTATCAGAGAGAGGAGGTATCAAAAGCGGCATTATGTTCAGCATAAATTTAATACTTCTTTAAAGGCTTGATTATAAGTTTCACACAATGTAAGCGAATACTAGTACCTACCATCTTGTGGATACATAATCAGTGTAAGGAGGTCTAGATCGGATTTCTCGGGCTAAGCCAAAGTCTGCTATTTTCACAAGTTCTGGCCCCATGCAAAGAAGATTTTCAGGTTTCAAGTCTCTGTGGAAGAACCCTAAAATTCAAATGAAATATTGATGTGCATTGCAATGCCACCCCTGGCTGTACCTCGTATTTTTTCACCGGAATTGTTTTGCTTTAGTTCTTATTGCTGAAGCTTTAATAGCACAACACAGAATTCAAACTCTTACATGATCAACAGAGCTAGTCAGTGTCACGGTTGTTCAGTCAGACTGCAAAGAACTGTATGCACAAGCTGACTACCTTACAGCAATTCAAAGCATTCAGTCAGCTCCCTTTCAAGGGGCACTTCTTGTACTAAAAAAAAAATTTACACCATTTTAACGTTAGTTCTGCTGTAATTGTATTGGAAGCTGTGCAACGAAGATATAAAAATTCACTTCAAAGTTCTTCTAAACTGAATACAAATCATAATGTGAGGTAATTTTTTAGCACTTTGAAATTTCTTTTTAAATCTGGAAACATAATCTGCAAGCACTCACTCATCACCCTGTCAGGCAGAGGATCTCAGCCTATTTTTTAGTACTCCTGCATTCAGCAAAACTTGATCACAAATGAGCATTGGGCAGGAGCTCTTCAAATACAAATGAGAGAAGAGGGCTAGAACATTACTGACTACCGCCTCAAACTTGTTTCTACTCTTAATCTGGAAAACTTGTCCTTATGCTTCTTCCTTGCGGGCATCTGAGACCACTGTTTCCCTCTGTAGTACTTTACTAGAGCTCTACGACCCTTTTTTTTAAAGACCTTGCAACATGCTTAGTTTTTTCCATGGCCTTGAATATGCTCCCACAGAGAATAAAATAAACATTCACACAGGATGTGTCTGCACCGTGCAGTATATTAACTTTTGGGTGTCAGGTTAATGTATGACAGCATCGAAGATGCAGCGCTGTAGATTTCTACCAACCAGCAGGTTTGGTCCTTCCTAAGGATATTAAGAGGATGTTCTGGAGCCACCTTCTGTTGCCTCTTTATGGAAGGTACAAGACAGAGCAAGCAAAGTTGTTTTTAGCGTTTAGTACAATCACTTCCTTATTTTGCTGCATCGACATGCAATGAATGCGCCACTGGAATGGTTTTGAGGCTGCTTATTTCATTGCAAACTTGTAAAAAAAACAATCAACTGTATTCAAATATGTGTATTCAAATACGAAAAGATGCTCAGAGTTTGGATGGACATAAGAAGTTCACTTGACGAGCATTTCTATTCCATACAGGAGCAGAGTAGAAAAACAGAGCAAAAAGAAGCTCACGTGATTTTTCCAATACTGATGCAGAGAGAATCTTGGGACACCCAGACTTGAACTGCGAGCCAGAAGACCATCAAGACCATCCTGTCAAGATTGCCAGGAATTTCCTGATCTTTGTAACTATAAATTTGCCTTGGCAGAAATGTCAGTCTACTGTGTAGACTGGCCAGTGAACAAGACAGTTGGCTTTGACACTAAATTGTTAATTCTTTACAGCTATAGTAAGCTGAATAGCAGTAAAAGGTTTTCTGAATGGTTGTGATCCATTTGACTATTAAAAAAAAAGTGGCTTAGATTTTTGCAAATAAATCATATTATTTTTCTCGATTAAAATACTTTGTATCTCACTGGAACAGACTGGAATTTCTAGTTTGGTTTCACAAGAGTATCCAAGCCCCATTAGAACAGAAAATAAAGCCATTAGCCTGAAAATGTGTCACAAAACAAAGTTAAATCTGTTCTTCAAGTAAACTGAAATGCTGGTCCTATAAGCCTTTCACTTCCAAGACTTTGGCCACTGATGTTAGTTCACTTCTGATAACCCTGAGGGCCAAGCAGCAACATATATTACAGTGTATTTAGCAGCCAGAATTGCAGAGGCCAGCAAAACACAGTGAGGAAGTTATCATTAAAATAGGTAATATTTTTATTTGTTAAGTGGGTCTTGTTACTTCTGGCTGGTATATCAGCTTTAGCTTTTTTCATTATTGTTAAAATTAGTTGGAAGGCCATACAATGAAAACTATTTGTCACTTAGACTTCATTACTTTAAGTGTAACCCACAGAGAAGGTGAATTCTGTTTGGGTATCTGTGTGTACCTCGAGAAAAGAGTAATTTTTCCTCTATTCTCAATCTCAGGGGACCTGGAAATCTATCAGGAAATGTGCCCATTAACATCAGATAAGTTTTAGAAAGCTGTGAGCTGCCAGTGTGAGAAAGCAGGTATCTACAGAAAAGGAACTGAGCAACCCTCCAGACTAAGATACCAGTACAAAAATAAACATCTAATTAAAATATCAGATCAAAATACGGATATTTTCAGCATCTGAATCTCTCACACAGTGTTACTGTTTTGACCACTCCTTTTACTAAAGTTAAGAATAGAATTGTTATTACACTCATGAAAAAACTCACAGAGACACCATCCTGCTCTAATTCAAAACATTTACAGCTAAAACATAACGTACCATGTTTATGGATAAATGCCAGCCCTTGCAGGATCTGATACATAATAATCCTAACTGTAGACTCAGGAAAGAGCTTGTTTCTGTGGGATAAAAGAAAAGGGAAGAAATAAATAGTAATGATTAAGTTTACACATTAGCTTCTGCTATCTAACGAACCAAAGACCAAAAGGTAAAAACGACAATAAAACCGTCAGATATATTTTTAGCACTCTCACGTACTTTATTTCTCCAATAAAATTGTTCACAGAACAAAAATAGATAAATAAATAAAATGTGTTCACACAACTGCCATATTGCATTATATCACAACTACGTGACATCAAGCTAAAACTATGTGAGACAGTGAATTAAAGAAGGGGAAAAACAGAAAAGAAAAAAATATTGGCTAAATTGAATAAAGCTTAACGGGTGCAGGTCATGAGGCACACTCCTCAAGACAGCAAGGGTTCATGTCCATTTAGTGCTTTTCATGCACAGTCTCTTCTGGCCACTCCTCTAGAGTATACACTAGCCAAACTTAAACTTCCCCTCATTATTACCTAACAGCTGATGTGCTACTTCTTTCTCTTCTTTTATCTGAAAAAAAACCCCAGTTTCATCTGCTACCACTGAAAATAATAGTCTCTTCTCATAGTATTCAGGTGAGATCAGTCATCACAGGTGCTTTAATGACAGCTCCTCTTACCAAGAGAGGATTCTGATCAAACAGCTCTGTGCTAGCTGCCTCTGCACATGCCAAAACACGTAGAGATGGGCTGGGGGGAGGAAATTGGTGACAATTTTGTTCAGAAAGAGTTGAATAGTGAATGAAGAACATGGCCTGGGCCTTACTCAATTTCCTGAGCTGGATTCCTCTCAAAAAAACCAAAACAAAACAAAAAACCGTAAAACGTTTCAGAAGTGAGATGAGCTACTAGAGTTAGCTCTTCATCATTGCTTGCTTATTTTAATTACTACAGTCCCTTCCAGGAAGGCAGGTAATTTTACCTAAGTCTTAAGCAGATAGATCACATTCTTAAAGGTTTGATTTACACAATGTCTAACCAGTTCAGGGCCTAGTTAAACCACAGAGAATATGATGTGTAGCACTCTCTTATTGACATCTCCCCTTTTTGCTTTCATAAGGAGGTAGGATGTATCAAGTATTTCCAAGAAATTCCTAAAGATAAATGCTTTGTATGTCATGTAGTTGAACTGTTTTCTCAAGGTTCATCATTTCATGTAATTAAAAATCAGCATCCATATATGTGTGCCCAATTTAAAGCTGTTCTATATCTGTACATGTATAATTAGTATTTTAATGCTTAAAAATTTTATGTAGTATTCACAGAGATATATTATAACAACAACCTTACTTTGATAAATCAAGTAAGATTATTGTCATCTCCCAGGCTGATTCTGTGGTCCACAAAGAGAATACGGCCTCCTCAGAGAAAAAATTGACCTATTTTGCCCCAAATTATGCTCTGGAGGATGGTATCATGGCCCAAAGGCTAAAATTAAGACTTTATTAATGCTCCAGCAAGTATCAAAAAGCTACATCTTACTCAGAATGCTGACAGATAAAATAGGCAGTCTTTGGACTCACGATTACCATTTCAACCACTTTTTAGTTATTCATTCATTCATTTGAGGAGGCCATAATAGAAGAGGTGGTGGTACCACCCTCTAATCAAAAAAGCACTGCTGGCTGGAGAGCACTTACAAAAGTTCTAGGTTCAATGCCTCCTCAGCATGAGGGCTGTTAGAAGTCCACAGTTTCTAACTCTTTTGAGAGTGCCCTGCTCATCTGCCAGGCTAATCTGGGAATAGACACCAGAAACTTTCAATAAAGTTTCTGGGATATGCTTAAAGGTGACTGTCACAGCTCCTACTGTAGCACACAGCTTTAAGCCATAGTGATCTAAGCCTAAACAAATGATCTACATCCCTCTGAAAAGTAGTAACAAGGGTGTCAAAAGCACATTATGGAAGTAATTGATTTATATCAGGATTGGGTGATGCCGTTACATACCTTTCCTTCATTAATTGATAAAGATTTTCCTTCATGTATTCAAACACAAAATACAGGTTATCATTTTCCCTGATAACTTCTTTCAGTTTTACTACATTGGCATGGTTTAATTTCTTCAAAGACTAGAAACAGAAAATACAAACAGGATTTTTACAAGGATCTCACACTAATGAAAAAGAAAAAAACAAACTATTTCACTGATGCAAAAGACTTGGCTTTACAAGCTCTTCACTATTCTAAACAGCCAGGCAACTCTGAGAAAAAAAAAGATGAGATCTTCAAGCATTACCAGATATATGTACAGTATATGTATCAATTTAATGTACTGGTCATTCAAAAGCAGGCTATCTGACATCACAGTAGGGACCAAAACGATTACTTTTACTCTATAAGCAATTTCCAACTGTCAGAATTCACACTCTTCTTGCACTCACACTGGCAACAGTCAGGTTAGACTCAGGACTAAGTAAAACCCTGGAAATCCCTCCTTAGTGTTGTGCATTAACCCCGGGGGGCAGCTGAGCTCCCTCATCCCCCAAAGTGGGATGGGGGAAAGAACCAGAAGGGCAGAGAGTGAGAAAACTCGTGGGTTGAGATAAAGACAGTTTAATCATTAAAGCAAAAGGGGTGCACGTGAGCAAATCAAAGCGAGGGATTCATTCACTGTTAGTACCACAGCAAAAGCGACCCAGGTTTTCTGCATGTTCGCACCAGTGATAGCAAGGACTACAAATTAAGGGAGGCCCTTTAGAACATACACCTAAAGCTCTGCTGAGGGCAGAATTTTGTGCTCAGTGTCTGCCCTCAAACCAACTATCCAGAAAAAACGGCATGTACAAAGGTTACTGCTGCGCAAAGGGCACGCCTGGTCAAGCTCTACAAACCAAACAGCAGCTGACTCCGGGTTTTGTGATAGGAAAGTTTCGCCACTCACACAGCACTCACTGCAAGGAGGAAGCAACTCTCTACAAACAAGTAAGTTTTTCTAAGACAACAGAATTTTAACAAGAATTTTTATATGACAGAACTCTAATGCCATATGCCACAGCCCAAGTTTGGCAGGGGGAATATTTTGATAAAAGGGATGGAAAGAATTTGATGTTACCCTAAAAAATTACATGCATCGTTCAACTTGAAGTCAACCATGGAATGAAACAAGTACCTTAACCTCTCGAAGATTCATGCACTCTTCCCAGGAATAAAACTTCCTCTTCATTCTACAATAGTAGAGGAGGAAAAAAAACCCCAACTATTAATCCATGGTCAATATCAGCTGGTCTTAGACCCATAAGTCTCATTAGATCTTAAAAATTCAGTTCTTCCACCAAAATCTCCTTTGTCAAAAAACTCTACACCTCTAGACAAGCGTCCTGGTTTGAGCTAAACAGATTGAGCTGAAAAGTAAAAATCACTGAACAGAACTGGTTGTTTAGCTCAAACCAGGACAACAAGGTACACTCTACTAGAATTTAAAAGCATTACCATAACACAGGATCACCTTTTTTTTGTATATATATATCTATACCGCTGCAAAAAAATTCAGAGTCTTCAACAAGTCAGGTCATGCCACTTTTCTTTCCAGTGTACAATGTGGTGGAACAGATCGTTTGTAACAAGAACAAGTGTTATGACAGTTATGAACAACTCGGACTTAAGTTTTGAAACAAATCTAATGAAGACCAAATTAAATCACTTCACTAGGTCTCCAATTTTATCATATTCTTCTTGTTCCTCTTCTCTATATTTTGATTTCTCTGTAATTTCAATACTTTTCCCCTCCAAGTTGTATTTTTCAGTATCATTTTTCAGTATCCAGTGCTCCCCATGTTTTTCTCTTCCTCTTGAGTTCCATCTCTCTTCTGCCTTTCCTTTCAAGCTTATAAGCAACTCAGCTCTAACAGAAACAGAACGCGTGGCAGATGTGTCTTCTCCTAAGCCAGAATCTAACTCTGAACACAGAATTTTTTCTGTAATGTATGGTCCTACTTGTTCATACGCATGTTGATTACAACTTGGTTCTTTCACACATAATTCTACGCTTTAGGATCAACAGGATGAAGGCTCCCATGTACGCACACACACACACAGTGGCAGCGCACAGATGAATTTACAAAAACACCCAACCGCTAAGAGTTTGGATTTCAGAGATAGGCACCTTCTGAAGATCTTTGTCAGACTTGACTAATAATTCTGCATTACTTACTGTAGAGGCTCTTAGAATAGTTCAAGAACTATAAACTCCTCATTTTTTTTGGTTAAGCAGTGTTTTTGCAGTTACTGTCTGATGTGTCCAGCCATCAAGTCATTTCTGTTCTTAACAATGTACTTGTGTTAACATGTGAGATAAGAGAATACCATCTTCTGGTTTGTTCTGATATTTTTGAGTTTCTACCATGTAAAACGAAAATCAAAGGTGCCTCTGGAAAGGGAAAAGCACTCTTAGCACTGAGGATTTAGAAAGTTGCTTTGTACAAAACAGCATTGTACTGAAAGCTCTTTAGAAAAGTCTGTCCCTGGGTCACGGTCGGAATTTCAGGAAGGTGCCTGCAACACTTCACAGCTGTCTCTTACCCCAACTAGGACAAATATGCCATTTACAAACAGGTCACTGCTGAAGCAGCAGAGAAAATCAAGTGGATTTCTCAAGGAATTTAAAGACAATGTAAAGGCAAAAAGACCAATACATTAAAACATATAAAGACAAAGATAATGGGCAATGAGATCCATTATGTTAATTATCTCTGCAATATTAACATTACATAGAATCACAGAATTGCCTAGATTGGAAAAGACCTTTAAGATTACCGAGTCCAATCATTACACTAGTGTCATTACAGGCCAATACACTGGAAATTAGACCATGAAATGTATGTTCCACAGAAGCAGCAGGGTAGGGAGCGCAGATTCAGAAGCAGCATTGCAGAATGCTCTAGATAATATACATCAGACACATCTGACTGCACATAGCAACAAAGCACTGTTACAGTAAACCTACATATCTCACTCTCTTCATCTTCTGCTGGGGCTTTGGAGGATACAAGGAACTTGAGCTTTGCATGCTGCCCCAATATAACTTCAAAAACAAATGTGTGGAACGTGAAGTAGTCAGACAAGCACCACCAAGTGATATGGACCATAGAACGGAAAAACCTGGACAATCCACTGTGAAATAAAAAATGAAAATACTCACTTTTTAATGGCTATTAGCTCTCCAGACTCAATGCTTCTCCCTAGGAGGACAGAGCCGTAGGTCCCATCACCAAGCTGTCTGATAATTGTGTACCTATTCATGATGAGGATACTTTAGCTGCAAGCGCATTTCAGTCCTTAGTGTTTCTTGGTTTCTCCTCCGAGTGTAACCAGTTCTTTCTGTGGCAGCATAAATATAGAGCACTCAGGACAGTGTGAACAGTTGCAGGAATCATGTTTTCAAGACTTAGCCTTTGGTCTGAAAGCACAGAACATAATCCATTTGATTTCCGTACCCTTCCGAGATTGCTTGTTTGCAAGCAGCCCTAATGGGATAAACTATCTAAGTGCAGAGGACAAGGTATCATAGCTCGGAGAAAACAGTTTGCTATCAGAAAAACGAAGCATTACGGTGAGATAGGAGGGAATTAATTCTAGCCAAATGGTCAGACATGGAAGTCTCCATCTCATAAGTCGTACTTCCATCAGTTAAACCCATTTCCTGACTTTCTAAAAGGTTCTATGCTAGAGTTACAGCCATATGTATTCCCTTAAACAAATTCCTCAGCTATTCCCTTCAGATGAGATCACATGTACTATACTACAGCAGCCCTAAGCATGAATCAGTCTTGAGAAGTGACTACATCAGATTATCTACCCGACCTTTTGTCCTGACACTACATGAACAAATAGATAATAAAACAAAAAAGTTCTTACTCCCTCATTTCATCTATCATTGCTAGTATTTCCTACACTTCAGTTTAGAACAAATCTGATCCATTCTACATAAATCAACCATGCATTCAGAATAAAAAACGGTTTCCCGGCAATGAGGGTTTGGTCCCTGTGTTCACTTTTTATTCAGCTCTAAGAGGACAGCAATATTCATGGCTGGTGACTTTTGCATTCTCTAACCTGCTTTTTTTTTTTTTTGGTTTAGTAGAAGCTTTAAATCTCTCCTCCTTGCCTTCCTTCACAAAGCCAAATTATGATTTTAAAAATAAAGGGATTATGTTGCTTGAACTGTGAACTGACATCAATGCAGAGCCACAATCCTGTAGATTCAAGATGTTGTGAAGATCCTTTGTTTTCATTTTTCTAAGCCTACGAGCCCTACTAATACTGATACAGGAACAAACAAAAATTAGGAGATATGATGTTAATACACCTTTTGACAATTTCACACATTGTGTATTAAAGAGAAATGCCACATCTCTAACACTGACTTAGACCGTGAGTACTATCTCAAGCAGGCAGGAGGAATTGCCCTCTAGCAGTACAAGCTTCTCTCCATACACTGCTACAGAGAACGATGGCTGAGTGAGCACCTTAAATTAAGAGACCTAATCCCACAGTTTGTACTACTTGCCAAGGCACGCAGAGCCTGCCTCTAACAACAGCACTTCAGGGTACCAGCTGTTATTTTGGCTGGTTCTCAGGCTGTGCACCTGCACAGTATAAAACTGTGTCAAGGTAACGGTTGGTTACTCTAGCTGGTCCATGACTAGATGGCAACTTAGAGGCCTCAGCTTCCAAGCCTTTATTCACATCCTTGGCGAAATTTTCAAATGATGACAAAGCCTTGCATGTTCTCCTAGTCTGAAATGTAGCATTTACTACTCTACAAACAATTTTGTACAGTAACTTCAAATTTAAACAGGTGAGACTTGTAGATTTTGCAGCACATTTTCCTCTAACAACAGAGTTCTGAAATGATAAACCTAAAAGACGTGATGGCTTACAATTCACAGACCATTTTGCTGCCCCTGGCTTACCATTCACATGCCTCATTTCGGGGGATTGTGCCCGCAGAGCGGAGGAGCGTATTTGCCTCATGTTTGATAACCACAGCAAACCAGAGCACGCGTAACGCTGCTGGCACACAACGCTGCTAGTGACGATAATCAGCAACAGCTTCTGTGGAGAGATGGTTTGTCTGATGTCTCCAATAGGCAAAGTGGCAAACATAACTGACTATTCTTTACTGGGAACGCTAATGCTAATTTAAGCCCCTCTCCATTCCACAGCCACTGATTTTCAGAAAACTTCTAAGCAATTAGCTTTGGGGGTCCAGCTCTGCTGTCGAATGTTACCAAAACACACAAATGAACTGAAATATTTTTGAGGCATAAACGGGAGGCAAAGAATGTAGAGAGGAAAAAAAGTCAGAAAATATAGGTTTCAGTGAGGAACGCATATCAAAAAACATAGTAGGATGCAGAGAAATTAACGTGGCTCCTATGCAAGCACAAATCCACCTGTACGAAAATTGACTTAACCAAACTTAAATAAATTCTTCTGTGCTTAATTAAATCAGTATCATTTCTTGTTTAGCATAATAATGAAGTTGGTTTTAAAATTCTATTTTACTTGGCAAGATTTATGTTCTGTCTTTACCACCTTCTACTCTTTCTCACCTTCAACTATGGGAGCAAGCTAAATCTTACCCTGCAGACTGTTTCACCTGAGTCCCACTGAAATAATTTAAAAGAGCACAAGTCTCTGACAAGCAGTTTGCAGAGCTACAATACATATAATCTCATCTAGATTCTAACCTAGAATTACTGAGAGAATAAGAAAGTAGAGTGTCTTTACAAATGAGTGATAAAACAAGAAGGGGAGCATGTGGGGCTTTTTATGTTAGTGATGGAACAAGGAGGAGAGTGTCCCCCATGAATGAGGGAGTCACAGGATGCAGTCTGTAGGAAGATAATGAGACACCTGGACCATTAGAACTATTAATTAAGTCAACAGTAAGGATGCTCTAAACTTTTGAAGTTTGACAAAGAGTGTGCAGGCTTAATAGGCCTATGAATATTAACTTCTTCATCCTGAGCGGCATAAAGTTGGAGTTAATGAAACACAAGAAGTATGTTGACTTGAACATCTCTCCTACGAAGAGAGACTGAGAGAACTGGGGCTGTTTAGCCTTGAAAGGAGATAGCTGAGAGGGGATCTTATTTATGTATAGAAATATCTGAGGGGTGGGTGTCAAGGGGAAGGAGACAATCTCTTCTCAGTGGTGCCCAGTAATAGAGCAAGGAAAAATGGGTTTAAGTTAGAACAGAGGAAGTGCCACCTCAGCGTGAGGAAAATCTTTTTCACTGTGAGGGTGCCAGAGCACTGGCACAGGCTGCCCAGAGAGGTTGTGGAGTCTCCTTCTCGGGAGACTTTGAAAACTTGCCTGGATCCAGTACTGTGTGGCTGCCCTAGGGGATCCTGCTCCGGCAGGGGGGTTGGACTAGATGATCTCTAGAGGTTCCTTCCAACCCCTTAACGTTCCATGATTCTACATCGTTAAGGGGGGCACATGTTAAGGGAGATCATGGAACAGGCGGATCGGGAGGTCTGTACCTCCCGAGTACCTGAACCAACAGGGAAAGGGAGAGGGTTTCATGCAGCTGGGAAATTAGGATAAAAGGAGGCTGCATCCTCCGCCAATTCGAGACCTCACAGGGACTTGGCAACTCCGGTGAACACTCCCTTTATTCGAACAAAGTTAAGACTCCTCTGCCTTCTTTGTGAACACTGACCTCTGGCAACGTGACTTTTCCACTAATTCACATCGTTAGGGCATCTACAAACAAGCTGCAAAACTGTCTTGGAGTAAAAAAAAGAGTGTGTTGATACTACACAGAAAGAAGCAAAAGCATTTTAACACCGTGTTCAGACTCCACCTCATCTGTAAACATTTTCTTCCAAAAGAAATCAACCGGAAAAGAAACAAAACCACCACAACAGCATCCTTTAGAAAGCCAGCTTAACTGAATGCAGCAGGCCCGCTCTCTGACTCTGAACTCGAACTCACTGAACTTCGCTCGG